AGAGTACCATGAGGGCGAAGAGAAACGTCTCTTCCTACACCCCCACCATTTCAGGAAAGAGTGAGCAAGAGACCGAAGCAGTCTGGGGCACCAGAAGAGGACGACAGTGGTGTGGAAGTCTATTACCGGGAGGGAGAAGATGAGATGGAGCAGCGGGAGGTGTTGCCCAGGGTAAGGGTCATCACCAAATGGAGGAAAAAACTTCTTGGGGGAGGAGTTCCTTGTGTTCTTTTTAAAGAACTCTGCTGTGCCAGCCCCATCCTCATTACCTCATTTTCTGTAAGATAGTGGCTGATGGGTAGCTGCCTCAGCCAGTCTAGCTCCTTGACTGGGTCTGTAAACATTAATAACATGTTTATCAAGAGCTGAATGAGAGAGGTGGGCAGATGGTGAACCCAGGCTCTTCACAGGTGCTGCTTGAGCAGAGAGGCTGTGGGAGTTTCAGCCATGGGGCAGGGCTCCTTCACTTTTGTCAGTCAGTACTTCTGCCGTCAGCATTTCTGTCCCAGACCTACTACTGTGAGCACGCGCGAGTGTGTTTGCATCTTACAAAGTCATTGTCTAAGAAACTGATTTAGAAAGAGGATTTTAAGTTACTGTTGTCCCCTCAGGAGACTGAGACTGAGGGGGCTTTGGGATGGCTGTAGGCAGGGGACAGGGAACAGTCTGGTCTGTGCTTCCCTCAGTGTTCTGTGATCCTGCAGGGAAAGCAGGCAGAGCCCGCAGAGGTGCCCCGGCTGCAGCTCTCTTCAGGCTTCATTTGGGACGTGGGGCTTGACTCTCTGACTCCAGCCTTGCCACTCCGAGGAGAGAGCTCAGACAGCGAGGAGGATGAGAAGCCAAAGCAAGCCAAGGTGCCGTATTTCCAGGGCATTGCTTCTCTTGCAGAGATTCCTGTGCCCTTTTCCAGTTAGGTGTCTTTCTGGGGTGGTTCATGGACTGTCCTGTGAACCCATGGCTTCTGCCTCAGCTTTCCCCTGGGCTTGAAGGAGCAGGTGACTCACTTTCTTCCTTCCATGCAGAAGAAGAAGGGCAAGAAGGAAAGGGAGCTGGAGAAACAGAAGGCAGAGAAGGAGCTGTCGCGCATTGAGGAGGCACTCATGGACCCTGGGCGACAGCCTGAGTCGGCGGATGACTTTGACCGACTGGTGTTGAGCTCCCCTGACAGTTCGATCCTGTGGCTGCAGTACATGGCTTTCCACCTGCAGGCCACTGAGATCGAGAAGGCCCGCGCTGTCGCTGAGAGGGCCCTGAAAACCATCTCCTTCAGGTCTGGGCTAAGGCTCTTCACTTTGTCTTTGCTTACAGAGTTTGCCACCATGGCTTATTTCTTGCTGGACAGGCTAGTGGCAGTCCATGGTCTTTCAGGCTCATCTTGCAAGTGTGGCCACCAGAAACGGATTACTCATTTATATTTTATGGTCCTCTTTGATGAAATCACTATAGCAACATTTACTAGTCTCTGTGTGCTAGCAAGGTTCCTGGTTAAAACAAGCAAAGCAGGGAGAGCTCGGCACCCGCTTGGGTGTGAACCTATTCTTGGCAGAGCGGGGGTGGCTTTCTGAAGCCTGGTGTGAAGCAGTGACACTTTTCTGCTTTGCTCCCTTCGTGGGGGAAGAGAATCAGATCCAGGATTCTGTTCCACTTCAATATTAGGCCAGTTTGTAATCTGTGTAATCTGAAGACTTCCTTCCAGGAGTGGGGGGAGAAATAGGGAGGCCCAGACATGGCAGTAAGCTAGGTCCCCTTCCAGTGGGCTGCAGTGGAGACAGTCTCAGTGTCTGCACTTAGAGGTGAGACTTGAGGACATAGATAGTTGTTCCCTGGGAGAGAGCTAGTTCTGGGCCTCCAGCTCTGAACTGATGGAACTCATGTTCTACCCACTCCACCTCCAGAGAGGAGCAGGAAAAGCTGAATGTGTGGGTGGCACTGCTGAACCTCGAAAACATGTACGGCTCTCAGGAGTCCTTGACTAAGGTCTTCGAGCGGGCTGTGCAGTACAATGAGCCTCTCAAGGTTTTCCTGCATCTGGCTGACATCTACACCAAGTCAGAGAAGTTCAAGGTAAGATGTTAGGCTCTGAGCCTACTTGCCCCAGGCCAGCAGTGTGTGAGAACCCCACCTCCTGGTTTCCCCATACTGTCTCATTCCAGCCTCGTAGACCCCCTTCCCTCTGCTTTCCCTTGCTATTCTCACACCTGTCTTCTGTCCGGGACTTTCTTCCCTGGAGGGGTTACTTGGAGACTCCTCCCTCCCAATCTCCCCACCTTCCTGGAATATCATAGCCTGTCCTTTCCGCCCGAGTGCCACACACAAAAGTGTCTTTCCACAGGAAGCAGGTGAGCTGTACAACCGGATGCTGAAACGCTTTCGGCAGGAGAAGGCTGTCTGGATCAAATATGGCGCTTTTGTTTTGCGGAGGAGTCAGCCTGGGGCCAGTCACCGTGTGCTGCAGCGAGCCCTGGAGTGCCTGCCCACCAAGGAGCGTGAGTGCTCTTCCCAGTTCCTAAACACTCAGGCCTGACACCTGTAAGTGGCAAGTGGGATCTCCTGAATTAGGAGAGCTGATGCTATGCTTGTCAGATGCTGGACCCCAAAAGACGGAAGAGCAAAAACAATTAGCACTGATTCTGTTGTCCATGGGCCTAAGAATAGGGGTGTCTGCAAGGCTTGTGTGTGTATTTGGTTTCAAACCCACAGTGTCCTTTTGGGGTTTGTCTCTTATCCTAGATCTTGACCCTAGAGCAATGAATCAGACTAACCCTGTCCCCATAGCATAATGTGCTGTGGGGAGGGGTCTCTGCAATTGTCTTGCCTCTGACCAATCCTTTCTCCACAGATGTGGACGTGATTACCAAGTTTGCCCAGCTAGAGTTCCAGCTGGGGGATGCAGAACGGGCTAAAGCCATTTTTGAAAACACACTGAGCACCTACCCAAAACGCACAGATGTCTGGTCAGTCTACATTGACATGACCATCAAGCATGGCAGCCAGAAGGAAGTCAGGTGAGGGGAGACGACAGTCAGGGCTGACTTCTGGTGGGGTCTGAGGTGGGAGGGGAATTTGGCCATGCTGGTGATGTTTACCCACCCATGGCAGCTTTGACATGGCTCCCCTGGTCCACTTGACTTCTCCTTTCCAGTCCTCGTATGTCTGAACCCTCTGCTGGGATCCCACATGAGTCACATTGTGCCTGCCTCTCTTGGCAGAACCTTCATGGGCAGACTTTCACTTTTGTCCCCCACAGTCCCTTCTAGGCAAGGAGGGTTGGAGGTGGGTAGATAAAGCAGGCTCCAGAAAGAACAAGTGCCTCATTCTTGCCTTTCTGTGGTTTACGTTTGGCTTCTGTCATTATGTATCCCATCCCAGTAGCTTTGTCGTCTTCACCATGTAATTTGTCTGTGGCAGGAGTCCATACTAATGATTACAGGGACCTAGGGCCTGAGAGCAGGTTGGGGAGTACTAGCTAGAAGTCATGTGGTAGGGACCCTGAGGGAATTGCTCCCGTGGTCTTCCTCATAGGGACATCTTTGAACGCGTCATCCATCTGAGCCTGGCCCCTAAGAAGATGAAGTTCTTCTTCAAGCGTTACCTGGATTACGAGAAGCAGCACGGCACCGAGAAGGACGTGCAGGCTGTCAAGGCGAAGGCCCTGGAGTATGTGGAGGCCAAGAGCTCGGCATTGGAGGACTAGCAGCTCTAGGCTCATTGGACACTGTAGCAGCAGGCAGCCCAGCCTGCAGCAGGCACCTTGGACACTTAGGAAGTGGTTGTCTGAAGACAGTTTAAGTGCTGCTTTTTCTGCAGCATGCCGGGAACAATCCTGTCAGAATAAAGAATTCTGAGAGGCTTTCTCCTTTTAAAAAATAAAATTAAATTTAAAAAAAAATATTTTTTTTTGAGACAGGGTTCTCACTGTTTGGTCCTGGCTGGCCTAGAACCTGCTGTGTAGACCTGGCCGCCTTGAACTAAGAAATCTACTGCCTCTGCCTCCCAATTGCTGGGATTAAAGGCGTAAACTATCTCTTCTTGTTTTAAAAAATATGTATTTTTTTTTTTAAATTTAGGGTTCTACAGATTGAGCCAAGACCTTACACATGCTAAGCAAGTGTTCTTCAACTAAACTCCACCCAGCCCTTGAGGTTTAATGCTCTTGTTTTGTTTTATGTAACACATTACGTCGTCTTCTTTCCTGAGGCTGCTCCGTTTTTCCAGGCAACAGTCTCTCGGGTTTTCAGAAAAAAACAAGCGTTCCTTTCCGGAGAGTTTGCTGCAGTCTTAGAGCAGAAAGGCAAAGGCTAGTGTTTTCATGGTCAGGATCCCACTTTGTCCCTTGGCAAGCTCTCAGGCCATACCCGAGAGGGTGTAGGGAAGACATTGTCTCAGGTCAGCCCGAACTGTCAGCCCTGTTGTGGAGGCTGGGAGATTGAGAGGAGGACAGAGGAAGAATCCAGAAGACCTGAGGAAAGCTGAAAGTATGGTTCAACTGTCTAGTCTCCACCCACTCCCAAAGCCTAGACCTCCTGAAGTCTGTCACAGCCCAGAAGTCTGGGTGCCAGCACAGACCCTACCACCAGTCGGTGTCTTTTGGGGGTGGAGGGGTCTTGTGCCTAAGGGAATTAAAAGCTTTCTCTGACAACCTAAATTGTTCTCTGAGTTTTCTGTGGGAAATGACTGGGTTGGATGCCAGGAAGCAGGACAGAGACGAGGGAGGGCATGAGGTTTTGAGTGTGTAGCTAGTTGATGCAGGACTGAGGAGAAAGAGCTGAAGCCCACTGGTTCTTGGAGTTCATTTAGTACAACCTGGCCAGGGCAGGATCTTCTAATACCATGTTTTCCCCTGAGCTGCCCACTCCAAAGGCCAGGAGAAACCAGGTAGAGACGCAACTCTTGGGCAGGTCATGTGACCTGCCGTTGCAGTGCTCTTGTGGTCCCCTTTAGTCCTGTTCCATCTCCTCTCAAAGTGGGCTGTACACCCTTGTCAATTGCACAAACACCAGTTTAGGCTTTTAAAGTAAGAAAAGCTTTATCAAAAAGTTTAAATATATAAAATTATACCAGAGGTATACAGTGGAAGCAGCTTCCTATCTGTACATACAGGAGTTGGGCATCCCTATGCAATTAGACACAAGTTAACTGCACAGTTACAAATAACGAGCCCCCCAGTGGGTTGTACTGGCACCAGGCTCTACCAGCTGATGCTTCTCAGCTTGCAGGCCCACCAAAGATCACCCACATACTGAAGGACCAGCTCTGGGGAAGCCTATAGCTGTGAACAGTGTGTTGGTGGCTACAGATGATTTCAGCAAGTCTGGGAAATCAGACCCCCCCCCACCCACCCAGTCCGTCTCACCCCACCCTCCAGTCTCTAGACCATGTAGTCCACAAGATCCTTACAAACTCCTAGCTGTTTTATGTCCCCTTGGTCACTTGGTAATTAGACACTGTAGTTAACAGATCTGATGTTGCAGTGAGCATGCCATGAGGGTGTGTTGCAAAGAAGCAGGCTCTAGGAGGTGAGCAGGGCCATCTCCATGTTGTCAGGGGCTGTGCCATTACCTGTCAGGCCCTGGGCCCACTTGTGTAGGCGACTATAGAGTGGGAGGCCCTGGTTCTCACGGTACAAATAGACCCCAGTGATTGCATTCCACTGTGGTCGTGGCTGGGTGCCTTCCACTGGGAACTTGGCGACCAGCTCTTCATCATCCTTGTTGAGGGCCACAAAGCCAAAGAAACGGCGCACGTTGTTGGCGGCCAGCACCCTTGAGTGCACCTCCACTGTGCGCTGGAACAGCTGCTCCTCGTTGGTGCGGTACTGTGCCCAGTAGGCCTCCTGGCGGTAGCTGAGTGGCGAGCAGTAATGCTTGAGACACTTGGTCAGGAACACCAGGATGGCCACCACACCGATGAGCAACCATCCAAAGAGCTGGCCAGAGAATAGGCAGGACTCAGGGAGGGGCCCGACAACTGCCTGGACCCTGCCTGGGGGCGGGGGGGGGCGGAGCCTGGTGGAGGGGACGTGGGAGGTCGCGTGGAAAAGGAACAGATTCTGCTCTGCGGGCAAGCAGGACTTCCTCTTTTCTATTTTTACTCCCTTTAGCCCACACACTCTCCTGCGCTTAGGCTGTGCCTCTTGCCTTTTTTATTCTTCAGCCCCAAGGATGCATTTTCACCGGACTCTACCAAACCCAGCTCAGGAGCCAGGAGTGGAGCTCGGTGACAGAGCACATGTTAAGCATTCGAGGCTCCCATCCACAAAAAAAAAATATATCAAAATGTGGGTCAGCTCAGAAGCATCTCTGAAGGCTTCAGAGGTCTCAGCCTCACACATCACTGCCTGTCCTTAGAGCAATTGCTGTGTGCTTGCTTCATACTAGGAAGATGCGAGTCTGCGGAGGGCCAGGACCTTGGATGCAATCTTTGCCTACTGCTCATCTATAGACCCGTGGATTAGTGACCAGTATTTCTGTATTTACCATCTTCCAGCTCTGACGCTGACTTTAGCCCCGTTTCTCTGCTTCCTCCCTGCCCCCACCCCAAGCTGGCCTCAAGTACCTTTTAGCTGAGGATGGTCTTAAGTTTCTGCTCCTCCTGCCTCCACCTCCTGCGTGCTGAGGTTACAAGCGTGTGCCACACCTAGTTTATACAGTGCTAGGGATCGAACATAGGACCTGATGTGTGCTAGGCATGCGTTCTACTGAGCTCCAGCTTAGCCTCACTCTTCTCTTGTGTTGTTACTGTTTAAAGAATTATTTTATGCTGTGTGTTGGAAGGATGTACCTGTGTCAGGGGATATGTATATGTTTTGAGGGTATGTATATGTGTTGGGGAATATATACATGTGTTGGGGTATGTGTTGGGGGTATATACATGTGCTGGGGTATATGTTGAGGGGTATGTATATGTATTGGGGTATGTACATGTGCTGGGATATATATATGTATTGGGGAGTATGTACATGTGTTGGGGAGTATGTACATGTGTTGGAGTATGTATATGTATTGGGGGTATGTACATGTGTTGGGGAGTATGTACATGTGTTGGGGTATGTACATGTGTTGAGAAGGTTTTTTGGTTTAGTTTTTTGTTTTTTTGTTACTGCAGAGTCCAGAGGGCATCGAATTCCCTGGAGCTAGTTACAAGTAGTTGTGAGCTGCCTAACGTGGGTGTTGGGAACTGAACTCAGGTCCTCTGTAAGAGCCATACTTCAGTCTTTACCCAGCCACTTCTCCAACTCTCCTCCTCTTCATTGAGAGGATGGTCCAAACTGGCCCTTAATTTACTATGTAGCTAAAATTGACCCTGAACTCAGATCCTCTTATATTTACCTCCCTAGTAGTGAATTACAGCAAGATACAGTACAGGCAGCTAACTTAGGTTTCTTTCTTTCTATCTATCTTTCTTTTCTTCTTTCTGATTTCCTTCCTTCCTTCCTTCCTTCCTTTTTTAATGTGTATCAGTGTTTTGCCTGCACATAAGTCTGTATACTATGGGTGTGCCTAGTGCCCCCAGAGGCCATTGAATCCCCTGGAACTGGAATTACAGATGGTTGTGAGCTATCATGTGTGTGCTGGGAACTGAACTCAGGTTCTCTGAAGGAGGAGTGCCCCGGGTTCTCTCCAGCCCCTAGCTTAGGTTTCATACATTTTCATGGAAAGCACATCCTTTAGAGAGTCTTGTGTTTGCTGTCTCCCTCATCTTCTGCTTCTGAAGTCACACTCAGTTCAAACTGTGCTTTTGATCATTATTATTTATTATTTATTTTTGTTTCTTTATGTGCACTGGTGTTTCACCTGAATCTATGTCTGTGTGAGGATACTGGATCCCCTGGAACTGAATCCCCAGCTGATTGTGAGCTGCCATGAGGGTGCTGGGACTTGAACCTGGGTCCTGTGGAAGAGGCCGTTTCCCTAGCCCCAGGCATTCTTTTGACCTCTTTCCCCTTGACCAGCTTCTAAACAGGATGTAGGGAACGCTGTTGCTAGCTGAAGCAGCAGTAGCGTGCCTCTTCCTGACCTGCCCCAAGAGTGAGGCTGGCTCACTGCTGGGGCAGGAATATGGTCATCCCTGGAGTCAACCAGGTTCCACTAGCAACTCAAAACCCACAGCAGCTATTTCTGAGGTGGCCTGCAGGGGCCAAAGCCCAATAAGCTAGGGTAAGGATAATAATCTCAGCAGGTAGATTGGGAACAGCCCGGTGGTGTAATGGGATGTGGGATGCTTTCTCTGGGATTCCTAAGTGCTTAAAACTGTCTCTAGGAGCTGCAAGTGGAGCCTGGTGGCAAAGCACATGCTTGGCATTCATGAGGACTTGGGTTCCATTCCTAGCACTCAAAGGCAAATCAGAGACACGGCCCTGTGATGATTAATCGTCCCTTGCTCCACAGAATACTAAGTCACAGTTAACCTGCTCTGAGGTCATCTAGGGCTTCCCTGGAGAGCTGCCCATTTTAACACTGGACCATCCAATTGTGTACCACCCTATCAGCTCCACTGTGGGAGGGGAGGAAGAAGGCTGCCCTTCACACAGCTCCTTACCTGGGACTCATACTTAAGCCTCCGGCTGACCTCTTCTCGGAAGCCCGCCAGGTTGGCAGGGCCCTCTCCACAAGGGAACCTGGCCAGGATCTCTGTGGCGTGAGCTGAGGGGAAGCCTTCCTCCCCAGCTGTGAGCGAGGAGGGGTCCACAAACTCACTGAGAGCACAGACGTAGGCCTCCCCTCGTAGCAGAGAGATGACGGACCAGGTGACAGGGGCCACTGCTGCACGGCCCAGGATGGAGCTTAGGAGGAGGAAGTTGGGGGCAGCAGAGCAGTTCTTGGCCCTCCGATACTGGCACTCAGCGACCAGGTTCCAAGTGTGGTTGTTGAGGATGACTCCGATGAGGAAGAGCGCCAGCGCAGGCACTCCAATGGCTGTCAGCCCATACAGGTAGTTCCGGGCAGGTGAGCAGGGGCAGTGGAACGCCACCACGGAGAACAGCTCCTGACTGCCCACTGTGCCCAGGGCCACCAGTCCATTGAAAATCATCACATCCTTGCTCTTGAAGAACAGAGAGAGGAAGCGGAAGTTCTCTGCGATCAAGGCAGCCATGGTGACTGGTGGGCTAGGGGCTTAGGAGGAGGCAGCAGAGGACGGTGGAATTGGTGGCTTCTGGTGAGACTCGGAAGGATCGCAGGCAGGAGGACATCCGAAGGCAAAGCATGACTATGCCATTTTATCACCTGCGGTGGCCGAGCTGATGCTTCCTGTGAAACACAGATGACTGATAATGTCTGCCTCTGAACACGGACTGAGGGATGCTGCTGTGGTCAAACAGGTAGGGGAGGAGGGAGCTCAGGGCCCCCACGGAAATGGTGGTACCCATGGTTGCTGCCAGGTGCCAGGTGCTCTCAATCCATAGTGCCTATCCTCACGAGTCTATACAGTATCCTTGGCAACCCCTGGCATCCTTGTGTACCCCCCCACCCCACGAGGGTGAACCAATCCCTGGCCAGAGCCATGTGTAAATAAACGGCAGGCCTCAAGTTCAAGATCAGGTCTGCCTGCTCTGAATAACTGAAGGTCTTTTTGCCACTGCCGGTTTCTCATCAGGAGGATCAAGCATGGCTGGAGGTGTTAGGTGATAGGGGATGACTTCTGTCTGGGATTCCTATGCTAAGGATTTGGGACATGTGGAGGGTGTGATATGGATGTCCTAGTGAACAAAAACAGCCTGCCTGGAGCTGTGGGTGGCAGGAGGGGAGGGTCAGGTCCTCTGGAACAGGGCAAGTTCGACATGAGATGCCAGCATCCTTGGGTGCACAAAACCCTTTCATTTTGGAGACCTCAGGGTCTCAACACACTTTACACCTTCTCTCCAGCCCTCTGTACTCAACTGGGAAAAAGCTAAGTCATTTTGGTACCTGACCCCTTCCTGGGAGCGTTAGGGGGACAGTAAATGATGCCTGATAGTCAGTCGTTCAACATCTAAAGCTCTTACTCTGTCAGGTCTACCGGTCGAGTATGAGTCTTCTGATGGCAAAGATCAGAAAATGAAGACCCGAGGAGGACTGGTGTCTTGCCCAAGGTCAGGCAAATTTGGAGGAGTCGGGCGAGGTTTTGATCATGACTTGAGAATACTGAGCTAAGCTAGTGCCCCTGTTCACAACCTCCTTCAGACCTTGCTCCCCTCAAAACTTCCCTACACAGCATTCTGCAGGAGCACTGCTCCAGAAGCCTAGGCCTGATACCTTTAGCACTTGCCAGCCACAGGCAGCCTTAGTGGGGTCCAGGCACACTGTACCCATCCATCCTCCCCTGAATCGGCGACTGCAGGAGAGTTGGCACCCTGCCAGAAGTGGCCTTGGCCCTGGGCTCTTCGGAAGTTTAGCCCTAATTCTTTTCCCAGGCTCCACCCACACACCCAGAGAGACAGGCAGGGTGTGGCTCAGTGTCCATCCCAGCAGGGGAATGAAGAAAAAAAAAAGCCCAAAAACAAGACCAAAAGAAGCCTGGAAGTGGAGAGAGGGGTTAGCTGTAAAGAGAGACAGGGGAGCCTGTGCCGGCTTATAGCCGCATCCCTTTTCCTTTTGTCGCCTCTGTCAAAGATGCCAGATGGGCACAGGCAGGGCCATGTGGCTATGTGGGCTCCAGGAGGAGTAGGCAAAGTTTAAAGCCCAGAGATCCTGAATCTCCCCAGTTCAAAACCCAGAGATCCTGAATAATCCCACAAGGAAGGGACCTCCTCCTGTTGCTGGTGATAAACAAGCTAGAGGCAACCCCATCTCTCCCTTTATCCCTTCCATCCCTTCTTTTCTCCCTTCTGTTCCTCCCTTTCTCCTTTCCTGGCACCCAATTAGTAGTGGCCCTGGGTCCTTAAACCCACCCAATGTTAAAATACAAGATGCCCGATCCGTGGGTAATGAGCAGAGGCCGGACCAGGCCACATCTTCTGAGATTATTATGCCAGGGCCCTCTTCCTAAGGACAGGAGACTGCTAGGCTGCTAGGGAAGGGAGTGGGAATAACAGGTCCATGTCCCGAGTGAGGGACCTATACCAGGGGTTCCCTCTCCACACAATCCCTGGAGGCTGCCTGGGACCAACCTGCCAGTTCCTTTGATAAAAGCACACCCCAGGAAGGGGCGCCTCCTTACCTGGGGCTGGCTGCAGACACCCGTGGCCTTGACTTCCTGGGCTGGCCTCTCAGAGTGACAGCAGTGTGGGTACTGCGGACCCTGGACAGACTCAGGGCTGCAAGGCAAAGTGGGCCTCACGGTGGCGGCTTCACCGCTTTTGCGTTTGAAAGCAACAGGGCTTTGGGCTCCGGTTACAAACAAACTTAACGCCAGGCGTCTATAGATGAAGTGCAGGCATCTGCAGACAAATTTAACTCCAGAAAAAGAGAGACAGAAACAGCGGCATGGAACTTTCTCGCTTGCGAATGGAAAAACAGCCTCCCAGCGCCAAGCAGAGGAGGGCGGGCTGCTGAGGGCGGCGCGAGACAGAAACAGAGGAAGTAGAGGAGCGATCTAGGCTGCTGTGTCCTGTCCCAGCCCGCCTCTGGGCCCGCTGTGGCTGGCCCTACTGGCCCTGCCTCGACTCTACCCTATGCACCCCTCAGGGGCCATCTGGGAAGGTCTAGGCAAGAGCGAGGCGGGGCCCTCCAGGAGATCTTGCCCAGGCTTGCCCTCCAGGCCAGTTTAAAAAACAGCCCCCATGCTAGACGCCCACTGGCAGAAGCTTCTGGGAGTCAGGGCAGAGGCGGGCGTTCAGGATTGATGGTGATGTTCCAGAATACAAAAGGTCAAGACCCGGGTCCCCTCTGCCCTTTCTCTAACGTCCTGCCTTTGTCTGTACCAACCATCCCCAGAAGAAGCCCTTCCCACCACAGTTCAGCTAATTCCCAGGCACCTCTCCATCCTCCTCTGTACAACTAACATCTGAATCAAGAAATCTGGGGATCCTCTGGGCGCCTAGAGCAGAGGTTGGGCAGAGGTAGAAATTAAAGGTAGAAAATAGAAACTTTCTAAGCTGCTCTGCCTGTCCCTGGAGTGCTCATGAGCTCCTATCTCTGGGAGCTCACAAGCAAGACTGGAGAGTCAGGTACGCTGATGGGGAGAGTGCCAAGATGAACCCAGTGGCACCTAGGATTCAGAGAGATAGCCCCAGGGCCATCAGCTCTTCAGGGCTGTGACAGTGGAACTCACATCCTGTGGCAAGCTGAACTCCCCCGAGTCTGGCTTGTCTGTGTGGCGGGGATGGAGAGGAATCGTTATTTCTTTATCCTTGCTCTTCCACGAGCGCTCTACAGGTTGGGGGCTAGCCTTAGCTCCCACCACTCTGGTGTTGGAAGCCCAGGTCTCCCCAAAGCTTTCTCTCACATTTGTTTCTCCAAGCACTTTCTGGCATTCTGTCCCGAGCGGAAGCCTCTGCACACCAATGCCTACTCGGTCTGTGTTCATCTGGTCCCTTCATTCAGGGCTGGAGTCAAGTTCCACTGTCTCTTCCCTGCCACCCTGGCCCCAGGGCTCCACCTAAGAGTGGAAGGATGGTGGAAGGAAGAGGGAAAATGAAAACAGGAAGGTCAGAGTGAGCTCTGAGGTGGACAGGGCTGAGACTGAAAGATGGGAGCGTGCACCTCTGTCTCCTTTGCTTGGACAAGATTCCTGTCCCTTGGTTGGGGTCAGGGGAGGGGAAAGCAAGCAGCCCAGGGCCTCAGAGATGAACATGCACATTAACCACACTGCCCCAGATGTCTGCTATGTGCAGCGTGAGTTTATGCCTGGGGAACCCATGAGGTAGATGGCCCTCTCCCTCTTGCGCAAATGAGAAAACTGAAACCCAGAAAATGGGGCGCTTGGCCCAGGGACACTCTTTGCAAATGCTAGAACCAGCATTTAACCCAGCTTTATCCCACCCTAGTCTTTACTTCCCCTCTTAGGCAACACCCTCATCTTCACCACACCTCAGGGCAAGTTCCTGAGGGAGCCTATGAGAAAATAAGAGTTCCTCAGATTCCATTTCTAGCTCGCAAGCCCCATGATGGTCTGCTTCCCTAACCTTGTGTGAGGATGTTAATTTGGAACTTGGTGTGAGGTAAACACGGAGTCTATCTCAAAAGCTGTCTAATGGCGCACACCGTGGCCTCCCTCATATGGTCCTAGGTCTCGGCATCTTATCACGTGTCACTCTGGTGTGTCACGCCAGCTGAGTGTGTGACATTTAGCCCATTCTATCCTACCCAAGAAACTGGCTAAGATTATGAGAGGGCTGCTTGCCCTCGGATCCTTGAGCCGGAGCACGAGAGAAGTCTAGAACAAGAGGAAGTGCTGGGGTGTGGCCTTTGGAAGCCTAAGTGGGGACAGCGAGCTGGGATGGAAGGAAGAGCATCACAGGGAGGCTGGGTAAGGGACTCGGGGACCAGTCCTGGCACTATGCATCCTGCTCCCATCCCCAGATCTGAACACTTGCAATACTGCAACAGCAGGAGGTGAGGCACAGGGTGACACTGCTCCCAGGTCACCCAGGGCAGCATCACAGCTAGGGAGGTAAAGGTCCTTCAGCTCTAGGTTTCCTTTTTCGCGGCAGCAGTCAATGCCTGGACTTGGAGCTGGGCCTCAGAATTGGTTTTCTGTCGACGTTGAGGGGCAAAGGGCTGTGGGTTCAGATCTCTGCTCCTGCCTCTGCAGTCAGTGACAGCTCACACTTTGCTGAAGTAGGTGGCCACTTCCTTGCGTGGAGGCCGGGGCTCACTCCCAACCCAGCCATTGCCCATCAGTGGTGCCTCCTGGCCCAGGCGCAGTGGAGGTTTGCATTCGTGCCAGCTTGTGAGCAGCTTGTTCATGGTGCCTTGGTCAGTGATACCACGCAGCTTCTCCTTCTCTTCCTCCGTCCTGTCAGAGGGGCTCTGGGCAGCCTCCGTGGTTGTGGCTGTGGCCGTGGCCGAGGCCAGCACTCCGTGGGTGTGACCCAGTTCCAGGTCATGGTTCATGGCTTCAAAGAACTGTTGGATACATACCTTTGCAAAGGCCTTGGCGTGCTCTGTGCAGGTCTCATCAAAGAGCTTACGCTCGATGTCGATGTAGTGCGACCAGTACTTGCTCTTGAGGAAGGCGGCCTGGGTGAAGCAGGGCCGCACAGAGCGCACCACGAATGCCAGCAACGTGGTCAGCAGCACAAAGGACCAGCCCAGTGCCTGTGGGGAGAGGCGGGCATCAGCAGAACTACCTGCCCAGACCCCCAAAGTGCTTCTCTTCCACAGAGGAGAGCAGCCATGGACCATGTGACACCATCTCCCCATATACAAAATGGTCACATACTTCATCTCACAGGAACCAGATCCTGGGAGCATAGACCATGCTGCTTTGACGAGGCACTCAGTGGACAGGAGTTAACTCCACAGCTCAGAGTGAGGCCTCCCGGGTATGAATCCTGTCTCCACTTGATCTTTCTGTGTCTGGGTTTCTCTACCTCCAAGATGGGGCTACTGGCATAACACCTACCTCCCAGGGCTTTTATGAGAGCCAAATGAAATGAAGACTGTAAGACAACCCGCATAGAACTCTGCTAGACATCATGGTGGCACCACTTAGGGTCATGCCTCTTCCTTCAGAAGGTCTCTCCTGATTCCCCCGGGCCCATTGGGAGCCCTGGGACTTTCCTCCAGCTCCTGGGAATGACACCAGCTCTAAGTGAACACTTCCTCCACTGGTCTGAGCTGGACTCTCAAGGAATTCCAGAGACACCCTGGACAGTCCCCGAACTCCATTGGAAAGCACGGGACACATCTCTGACAGTAGTTCAGCCCAGAGCACAGGGCAGGACCCTCCCTGACTCCCATCTCCACAGAGCAGAGTTGGCACAAGTCAAGGAAGTGGGGGTAGGGGTGGGTGTGGTGTTAAGGGTGCCCAGTGGCTGCCGTGGGGGCGGGTGGGAGAATCCAGAACACATAACTCAGTCAGGGGGCTGCTTTTCATGTTGCTCACTAAGCCACTGGGGTCACAGAGGACTTGAGTTTTTCTCATGATTTGCTCTCTTTGACAATTTGATTTCTAGATAAAGTCAATTCTAAAGTGACTTCATAATTCGATCTCTACAAGTCACAGGGACTTGTCTACAACCAGGCTGCCTGTGGCCTCGGTGGGGACCTTCCAGCTTTCACAGTGTGGCAGTTTAAAAGCCAAGTGGACTGACAGCTGCTCCAGGCAGGGTCTGAGGCCTAGGGTGATGGGGCAAGGGCCTATGAATGGCATAGACAGTCACAGTTAGAGAGCCTTGAGGTAGTCTGGGTGGTGACAGGGGCTGTGCAGGGAAAAGCATCCCCCTCCCGGGGGCGGGGTCTACACTGGCAAGGGCAGAGTGTGCTTGTTTCTCCAGCCCCACGGGAGCAGACACTTCATCACACAATTCGCTGCCCCAGGACGTGATGAACAAGTGGTCCTTAAAGCCATCTCCCAACAATCCATCTCCCTCACCCTGTTCAAGATACCCAGACCCCTCAGCTTCCACTCCCAGAGCAGGGAAGCACCAGCTGGGGGCATTTGCCAGGGAAATGTACCCAAATGGCTTAGCCTCCCACCGGCCTCACTGCTGCCTGGGCCTGGGAAAGGAAATGCATGCAAATTTCTCTCAGCCTCTCAGCTCCGAGCCCAGGATGAAGGAGGTGGGAAACCATACACGCTCTCCAGGTAACCTGGCTGAGAGGAGACATGGGCTCTGCCTTGAGTCTCAGCTAGGAAGGTTTGCCTCAACCCACAGCCACCTGAGGGAAATCCCCACTTTGAGAAGGGACCTTCCCAGAGGGACCCTGGCCTGTGAGGAGACCCAGCCCCCTCACCTGAGAGATGCAGCGCAAATACCGCACGGCCACCTCTCGGGCCAGCAGCCAGTTCCCGTCATAGATCTCAGGGCAGGGTACGCGAGCCAGCAGGCGAGCCAGTTCTGTCGCAGGCAGGCCGGGCACCAGGCTGCCATTGCCTAGTGTGGCCACTGGCACCGCTGTGCAGAAGGCACAGAGAAAGCACTTGCCATCCAGCAGTGTGACGGCCACCCAGACGACAGGTGCGATGAGAGCTCGCTGGGCCATGGAACAGAACATGTAGCGTAGCACGGCTGGGTCCTTGGCCCGACGGCCGGCAGGGCGCTTCCACTCTTCAGCTAGCATGGATACATTGTTATTCATGACTAGGCCAAGCAGGAAAAGCACCAGAGGAGGCGTCAGCAGGATGCCCATGCTGTAGGCCATATTGTAGCCCGGCAAACAGGGGCAGTTGAAGTCAAAGGCAGAATACATCTGGGCACTGGCCAGCGCCATGATGCCGCAGATGCCGTTCATGAAGGACTCTTGATTGGACTGCAAAAACTGAAAGATCATCCGAAACTTGTCCATTGTGTCCTGTGAGGGTCCTCAGCCTCTTCCCTTTTCACCGTGGCTTCTGTGGCTTCCCAGACAGTTCCTTAAGCCTCTCTGCCCACTGGGCAGCCACCTCATGACTGGGATCCGAGCTGGACTAGCCGAGCTCTGGGAAGGTGATGAGATCACTCTGACTCGGAGGAGCCTTCCTTCTACACAGGTGCTGGCAGAGAGGGCGCAGCTTGACCAATCCTGTGGGTACAGGCAGGACTGTGTCCCTCCCTCCCGCTTCCCGCCCCTTCTCTCCAGCTGCTTGCTGCCTAGAGAGCCACAAAGCTGCACCCAAGAGGACCACTTTTCTTTGGGTGCGGGACTCTCTGCAATGTCAGGACCCCAGGAAGCTCTTCCATCAGCTGAAACAGTGATAATAAGATGACGGAGAAATGACGGTGGGGATAGAGGCTGTGGCAGGCAGTGGTAGTTGGATATTACTCATAAGAGGAATGGGGTGGTGTCCTGCGCTCGGTCTCGCCTGCAAGAACCACGCGGGACACATAGGATACTTCTGCAGAAAAGCTTTAATGCCCCTTGGGAGAGCGAGCATCAGCCAACATGGCGGAGACCCAGAAATGAAGGAAGCCATCCCTTATATATGAAACAGACCCTGCTTCGGGACGTGTCACTCTTGGATTGGTCAATTGTCCATAATCCCAGGTGAATGCCTCGGGAGTAGGCGGGGACAGTAGTGGAAAATTACCAACACGTGTGCGTTCACCTGGCGGTGAAGCCGGATGTCAGCGCCATCTTGTGATGGAGAATGTGGCTGTGGCCTTCTACAGGGTGGGCCACTCAGAGGGACCGGTGAGTGTGACATACAATAAAACTACCTGGGCTTGTCTTTCCTTTCTCTTTTGGAGACAAGGTCTCCAACTCGTTATGTAGCCAAGAAAGATCCAGAATTTCCCAATCCTCTTGTCTGTACCTCTCGAATGTTGGGACTAAGGGGCTCGCTCGTGACATCACACCTGGCTTTGGCTTTGGGGTTGGATTTAGACAGTTTGCCTAAGTCAGAGTTGCAGCTGGTTTCACATCTGTGTCTCTGTGGATGTGTCTGTGTTTGTGAGTTGTGACTGGCAAACCCTTTCCAGGCTCCTTCTACTTCCACATCCCTAGACCCACAGGAGATACGGTTTCACGATCAGAGAGCCCTGTGTATTGAGCCACCCGAGGGGAAGGCTCCCTTTCACCCTGCAGCTTTCAGACAGGTGTGTCAGATCTGGATCCAACCGGATGATTCCTTGTCTGGGGCAAGGACATCAGAAAAAGAACCTCCCCTTGTGTTTCCGACCCCGCCGTACTCAGTGTGGCTTCTGTCTGTATACAGAGGTGTGCTTGTAACCACACTAGCGGTCTTCTGCCTGCATCTTTGTATTTCTGACAAGACCTACCATGACCTCCGCTGACTTGTGCGCACCTTGCCTGTATTGTGTAACCCTTGTACGATTCTTTGGGATAGGATTTTTATCACTTTACGGAAGTGAGGCCCGAGGCTCAGAGAGACAAATCTATTAGCTAAAGGCCACCAGGCCATAGGTGGAGAGATGCGACTGGAGCCCAGGTTAGCCCTTGAGGGTGGGAGTACAGAGTGAAGAAGGGCAGGGAAGGTTTCTGTTTTTGTTTACTTTTGTTGTTATTGTTTTAACTCATCTTCTGGTTGGGTCAAGTTTGTCCATTGAGTGGAAAGACTGCTGTGTCATAAATAGGACTATAAGAAGATTATTGCTTCTCTCAACCATAAGGCTAGGTGTCCCTGGGACAACTGAAGTCCCTAGGTTGGTGACCACTGGAAGATTCTCACTAGGGACTCCTCCAGAAGACATGTGCTAGAGGTGAGCGGCATGAGGGAGATCCACAAAGAAGGTGTCTCGCTCTGGAAGTCTGCTGCACAGAAGACAAGGGTCTCAGCAGCTTCCAAGGCTTGATACGGCCCCAGGATGGCCAAGGGATGGGCCTGGATGGCTCATGAAACCAAAAGAGGTTTCCAGTACCACGTGCACTCTCTGTCTTGTGTACAGGTATTGGACACAGCAGCCTGTTTGTTAGCAATGAAGGGTCAAGAATTCCACAGTGGTTGGAGGGTTCCCGCCGTAGCCATGTTACTTGAAACATCTTGATGTACCATGACATTCATGGGTCCTACATACCCTGTGAGGGTTGGTGCTGCGGCAACCCTTCCCCCAGGGTCTACACTTCAGCTCCCAGCCTCTTTTCACTCCTCAAACAGGGACAAACTTTTCCACCTCAGAGTCTGTGCAAGCACTCTCTGTGTCTGAGGCGGATGCTTCTCTTCTTCCCGGTAGACATTCCCGTTTGTCTTCAAAATAAACTATATTTATTTTATGTATGTGCATTTGTGTCTGTGCGTCACTTGTGTGCCCGCTGCTCTCAGATCTCTTAAGATTGGGGTTACAGATGGATGTGAGCTGCCAGGCAGGTGCTGAGACCCGAACCCAGGTCCTCTGGAAGAGCAGGCAGTGCTCTTAATCGCTGAGCAAGTTCTCCAACCCCTCCTACTTATCTTTTGTTTTGTTTTTAGAGGTAGGGTTTCATTATGTAGCTCTGGCTATCCTAGAACTCACTACGTAGCAGACCAGGCTGGCCTCAAACTCAGAGATCTGCCTGCCTCTGTTTCCCAAGTGCTGAGACCAAAGGTATGTGCCACTACTGCCTGGTTTTCTTCCTTTTCATCTTTAAGAGCCACTTTTCTCTTTTGAGACGGGGTCTTCTTATGTAGCCCTGACTGTCCTTAAACTCCCTATGTAGTCCAAGCTGGCCTTGAACTCACAGAGATCCATCTGCCTCACCCTCCAAAGTTCTGGAATTAAAGGCATATGCCACCATTGCTGGCCTTCAAAATTCACTTAAATGTTATCCCCTCCCATTTATTTATTTATTTATTTATTTATTTATTTATTTATTTATTTATTTGACAATGTGTTATTGGTCTTGAACTCACCATCCTTTTGCCTCCTAAGTCTGGGATTACAGGGATGACAGGCCTGCCTGATAATGGTCCCTCTTTAGAGGGGTCTTCTTGAGCTCTCAGCTTAGCTCCATGTCTCTCTGTTTCTCTCTCTGTATTTCTGTCTCTTTCTCTTTGTTCTGTCTCTCTGTGTCTCTGAATGTCTCCCTCGTGTGTGTGTGTGTGTGTGTGTGTGTGTGTGTGTGTGAGTATACACAAGTTGAAAGATATTTGGTGGCGCGGCCCTGGCAGGTCCCTGGGTGTGAGACCTTGGAGGGTAGGAGACAGACAGATATGCCATGCAGACAGCTTGGGTATAGAGTTGATTTAGTGGGTATTGGGAATGGTACAAGAGTAAGGGGTTATGGAGGGGAGGGGAGAAGGGGGGACAGAGAAGGGGGAACAGAGAAAGAGGAAAGAGAGAGGGGAGAGAAAAAAGAAGGGAAGGGGAGAAGGGAGAAAGGCAGTAGTTACTCTTCAGAAGAGGGACAAAGAGAGAAAGAGAGGAAGAGAGAGAGAGAGAGAGAGAGAGAGAGAGAGAGAGAGAGAGAGAAGATCAGCTTGCCTGTGTGGGGAGGGGATAATTAGAGGTCAGTGGAGCTTGTCTCTTAAAGGGACAGGGTACCCAGGTGACAGGGAAGACCAACAAAATGACAGGGTACATGCATGTACCCATGCATGTACATACAGAGGTAGAGGTCAGAGCAGGATGTTGCTGGCTGTCCTCCTTTGTCACTCTCCTTGCTGCGGGGAGACAGATTCTCTTGCTGAGCCCTGAAGCTCAGCTTCTAAGCTGGGCTGACTGGCCGATGAGCTCTCAGGATCTGCCTGTCTCTGCCTTTCTTGGTTCCTAGCGTGCAAATATGCTGGACTCTTACATGGCTGCTGGTGATTTGAACTCGGGTTCTCATGCTTGCAGAACAAGTGCTGAGCTGTCCCCTCAGTCCCTTATTTCAAACTTAGCTATGCTGAGACGATGTTTGTTTAAAATCGGAGGCTCCCTTTGGACCACATAGGCTAAAGGTCTGCGTCTGTTTTGTCTACTACTCTTTTTTAAAAGAGTCTTTAGGAGCCAGGTGAGCCTGTTACCTGTGTCCCTCATTCTTAGCTGGGTAGTACCTGTCACTCGGGATATCTCACACTGGCAAGGCTGTGAGCGAAAGGGGGTATGGGTGGATGATGGCAGAGAGGTCTGGGGCCTGCAGCGGTATTACCTGGGGCCTAAGAGGGCGAGAGATACCTCTCGTGGTAAGGCAGGTGAGCCAAAGGTGTTGTTGGGCTCAGGCTCAAGGACCATCACTAGGTGGACTTCCAGGCTCCCGCCAGTGTCCTTCATCAGGCTGCACTGGGGCCCCTCTGCTGGGCTGTGAGTTCACTCATCGCGTCCCTACGTTCCACTGCAGTCAGAACATCCAGGAAGGGAGGACAGTGTCCCTCTCGTACTTGTACTCTGGGTCCCCAGCGCCCCGTGAGCGCTGACTCATGAGAAAAGGCAACCGGTTCCAACTTCTGCCAATTCCGTTTTTGTGTCCGCTGTCTTCTCTTCGTTTTGCTTTCCAAATGTCAAAAAAGTCCTCTCTCTTAAGACCCAGTCACACAATATTGCCACAGTCCCTCAGTCTAGAGTGTCATTGTCCCCCGAAAGGATCCCAGCTACATGGCCTGCCTCTGTTATACTGCCCCGTTTGCTTCAGATCATCAACATCTCTGTACCTCAAACAGTTATCTCTCTGAGGTCACCTATAAAGAGTTTCCTGTTACCGTGTCACATGCAGGAGGTGCCCTATAAACGCTCAGTGTAAGAAAGAAGAAGTGAGAATTACACTTGATGGCTTTTTAATAACCCACGTTGCTTCCTCCGAGAGCCCGAGGCAGCCCTCTCCCAGTCTCCTTTCCCAGGGTAGGTGCTCACCCACACATGTGGGCTTTCATCGAGTTCTTTTCCTCCTCTCTCTCACAGTCGCTGCTAACAATTTGCCTAAATCATATCCCTCACCCCACGCTGTTGCAGACATTTGCATGGCCTGACCACAGTCAGGAAGTCGGGGGAAGCTGAGCTGCAGGGATTTTCTGGTCTCACCAGGTCCCTTAGCAAAAGCCTAGGTGAGTAGAAATGGTTTAGTGGAGGGATCCAGGTTCCCAGGGGTCATCCAGGTTCACCTCTCTGTCCAGGGCCCTGAGGAAGCAGCAGAGAATGGGAATACACCCGGCTTTGCATTTGGGCACAAGTGAGTCATCAGGGTTAGGCTGAGGCTCAGCAGAGCTCACAGGCTTGAGCTGCCCCAGCTCTTCCTGTTTGGGCTGCCGGAGACTAAGTGGTGACTTTTCTGGCAGATCTACCAGTCCCTAAGCTAGACCCCACCTGATTCTGGAGACACCCTTACCAGATCATCAACCTCTGGCTGGGGATGCTTCTCGGGCACCCTGGGGAAGGGGTTGCCTGGGAAGGGAATGATGCTGAGTCCTGCTTCATGTGGTGAGCAGCAGAAATGGTGGCAGACAGATGAGAGAGGTAGCCCTGCCAGTTAGAGGGCAGAAGGCTGGGCCAGCTACAAACAGAACTGGTGGGACCTGAGAGCTATGAAGGTCACCTCTTCTTGACTTCACAGAACAGCACACTCCACAGGAAAATATAAACTATTTTTAAGCAAAGCTGCTGTCGTGTTCATTGTTTAAGAATGAATGCGTGTGGAGGTCAGAGGGCGACTTGCAAGAGTTGCTGCTCTGCTTCTATTTCCTGGGCTCTGGGGACGGAATTCAGGTCTTTAGGGGTGGCAGCTGGTACCTGGACTCTCAGAGCTATTCACCAGCCCTGTGATGTGGGAGGTGATGGGTGCTAGGAATATATTTTATTGCCATTGGGTAATAAAGAAGCTGCTTTTGGCCAATGGCTTAACAGAATATAGCCAGGCTGGAAGAGAGACATATAGAGAGAGAGACTAGGCGGAGTCAGGGAGAAGCCGCGTAGCTGCCAGCAGGAGACAGATGCACCAAAATCTTGCCAGTAAGCCACAGCCACATGGCGATATATAGATTAATAGAAATGGGTTAGCGCTTAAGCTATTGGCAAAACAGTATTGCAAATAATATAGTTTCTGTGTGATTATTTCTAGTCAGGGCGGTCAGGAAATGAACTAGCGAACTCCACCAACAGCCCTATGTTTGTTTGTTTGTCTGTTTATTTATTTATTTATTTTTGAGGCGTGGTCTTTTGTAGCCCAGGCTGGCCTTGAATTCACTTTGTATCTGAGGATGACCTCAGACATCTGCTGCTCCTACCTCCACGTTCTGAGCGCTGGGTGCAAGAGTGCATGTCATGCCCAGTTTACACAGTGCTGGGCCAATATTCCACCAACCGAACTATATCCCCAGTCTGGAAAGCAAACTCTCTGGAGTGGCCAATAAGAGTCAGTGCGTAGTGCTTTCATGAAGAACTTACCAAGCAGAGTTTGCTAGAACCTGCTATGAGAACCCTGGTGGAAGCAGCAAGAAACCCAACAAAGGCATTGAAAGACAATGAATCAGACCTAGAGAGTAAACTGATGACCCCAAAGCCAGGTGTCCTGGGAGTCAATGCCAGCTCCTACTCTGGTGACCTTGGGCAACTTCAACACCTTTTTGGTTCAGTTTTCTTTTTCAAACAGTGATCTAATAATGTAGCTTAGCTTACAAGGTGCTTGTGTAGCATGCGTCAAGATCTGAATGCCATCCACAGCACAGCATAAGCCGGGCACCTTGGTGCACATCTGCACTTCCAGAACTCAGGAAGTGGAGGCAGGGAAGTCAGGAGTTCAATATCATCTTCAGTTAGGCAGAAAGTTGGAGACCAGCTAAGTTCCATGGGACCCTATTACACACACACACACACACACACACACACACACACACACACACACACACACCCTTTGTCTCTGAGATGTGCTGGCACACTTGCTACAGAGTAAGGCTTTAAATGGGGTGGGGTGGGGCGGGAGAGATGGCTCAGTGGTTAAAATTTCACACTGTACTTGCAGAGGACCCAAGCTTAGTTCCCAGCACCCATACCAGGCAGCTCACAACTGCCTATAACTGCAGCTCCAGGGAATCCAACACCTCTGGCCTCTGTGGGTACAAACACACACATGCACATACCCCCCCCCACAAAATAAAATAAATTTTTCAAAAAAGGAGAAAGGATAATGAGATGGCTCAGTAGGTAAAGGCTTTTGTTGACAAGGCTCACAGCCCGAGTGTGATTTCTGAGACAGACATGATTGTGAGAGAGCTGGCTCCTACAATCTCTCCTCTGATCTCCACACGTACACACACACGCACACACACACACACGCATGCACACCACACAATAAGCAAACAAATAAATGTAATTTTAATTTAAAGGGGTGCTAATCATCATAGCTTCTTCATCAGGTCACATGAAGATCGAACGAATCCTTCTCAGGCATGTGACACTATGGCGACCATTTTTTAAAGTTTGGAATTGATGTCCATGATCCGTATCCACAACAGGTTTATTCAAACTGTGACTACTCAAAGTTTGGTCCACTGACCAGAAGAAGGGCATGGCGTTGGGGCTTGTTAGATGAGATTCCAGAAAGCAGGGAATGATGGCTCGCACCTGTAACCCTACCACTAAAGGCTCCTGAGGCAGAAGGATAGCCATGCAGTCCAGGCCTGGAGTTCAAGCTCTTCAGCTAGACAGCGGAAGTGCGACTCTTCCTCAAAAAGAAATTGGGGGGGCAAGGAAAGAAGGAAACGAGAAGGGAGAAAGGGAGGAAAAGGGAGAGGAAGGAAGGAAGAAAGAAAGGGAGGAAGGAAGGAAGGAAGGAAGGAAGGAAGGAAGGACGGATGGAAAAATTCAGGGACTCGGTCCTGAGTGCGCTAAATCAGAATCTAAACTTCATCGGGCCCAGAGGAACTGGTCCAACAGAGGAGGACATACCCAGAAGCTAGGCAGATACTGGGCTTTCTGGGAAGGAGATCAACAGGGCAGGCTGGCTTCCAGACCCATATCAATATGGGGACTTGACATGGGAAAACTGCCTCTGTTGGAGCCTAGCAAGATTCCTACACATCAACCTGGTGGCACAGCTTGGTACCTGGAGCAGCTACAGGGGCACGGTGATTGAGACCAGGCCCCCAGAGCCTGGGGGATGCTGTAAGGTCAAGTGGCGGCTTGCGGGAGTACCAGGTACTTAGGAGGTGATCCACCTGTTCCCGACTGGAGATAGCACGCAGGTGAGCCTTCCCGCTTCCACCATCCAGGTCCTCTGGAGGCTCTGGGGGTTCCTGTGACTCTGAAATTCCACCTGCTGGGTCCCGACGTAACCCAAAAGCTCTCAGCTCACTCTGCATGCTCGAAAAGAAGTGCAGCACACAGCGGTGCGCGAAGTCCCGCGCATGCTCACAGCACGTCTCATCAAAAAGCTTCTGTTCCAGGTCCACATAGTTGCTCCAGTATCTGCGCTGTAGAAAGACGGTCTGGTCGAAGCAGGGTCTCAGGCAGCGGGCTAGGAAGGCCACCACTATCAACAGCAAGGTAATGCTCCAGCCGATGGCCTGGAGAATGGGAAAGTGAGTCGCAGTGGGGCTCTAGTGGGGTACACTGTGTGCGCGTCAAAACCCCTCCCTTTCCCTCTATTCCTTATCACACCTATATGTTTTCCCATTCAGTCACTGTCCTGTCACCCATCCTCCGGATTCATCCATTTAACATCTCTCCACCCACTCATCCACCCCCTCCTCTCCTTCGGCTATATGTCCATCACTGTTCCATCTAGCCATTCTTCCATTCGTCATCCATTCCTCTTAGCCATTCACCTACCCTCCCGTCCGTTATGCCTCCATATTATTCTTTGTTCTGTTTGTGGCCCACTCACCGGCACATCAGTCACTTTGTCTTTGTACCCGTTCTCATGTATATTTCCCATCCAGCCTTGCAACTATGCTATATTTCGTGAGGCATTAAGCAGGGATTAGGGACAAGGGGGCCGTATTCTAGACCAACTGATGTGATGTGATTACCATTAATGAATAAAGAAACTGCCTTGGTCTGTCGATAGGGCAGCACTTAGGTAGGCGGGGAGGACTGGACTGAATGCTGGGAGAAAGAAGAGCATCAGGGAGACGCAATGGAGCTATTACCAAAGATAGACTTGCTGAAACTTTGCTGGTAGGCCACAACCTTGTGGTGATATACAGATAAATAGAAATAGGTTAAATTAAGATGTAAGAGTTAGCCAATAAGAAGCTAGAGCTAATGGGCCAAGCCGTGATTTAATTAATACAGTGTTTGTGTGATTATTTTGGTGCTGGGCAGCTGGGACAAACAAGCGGTTCCTTGAAACAACCAACGGTGAGGGAAACTGGAAGTCATTCTCTAATGCTGAAGCCCATGCCTGCCCGACTCCTTTCCTCTTTCAAAACTGCAGTCTTTCCCAGATCCACAAACATGAAAATGCTTTTCACTTGTATTTGTGAGTCCCACCCTTTACACGGTTCCCTTATTTGGTCACACACAGGCTCCCCCACCAAACAAGTTGAGTATTTTCTGTATGAGAATCAGAAAAATGAAAAAACTTGATACGCCAGGCTCCCAACTTAAAACTTAGGATGCAAACGGGTCTGACTGCAAGCTCCATGCATTTTCTGCTGATCTTGGGAAAGCCTAGAATAATGAGCATCTTGAGTGCTGGTCCTTTCACCATACCGCAAGCCTGCATTTCCTCTGAGCCTAAACGCTCCCTCTACTCCAGAGCATAGGGCTCTCTGGAGTCGTGGAGATACTCCATGTGTAATGGGCTCATAAATGCTCTGTGACAGACACGGGCTAACACGGGCTTTGGTAATGGTGGTGGAACTGGGAGCCTGGGTGGAGGCGGGGCTGCGGATGCTTCAGCATAGTAGACAGTCTTCCCAGTAACAATCTAAGCAGCTGGCAAAGATCTCCATTGTAAGGAGAGAGAAGGACCAATGACGTGTATATCCATAAGTTTGCCCTGCCTCTTATAAATTACGTGACTTTAACCTCGGAAACTAAAAATCCTCAGCGCCTCCATCGCCTCATCTGAAACGTGGGATGCTAACAACTGCCTCCATCCCAAAGGGCTGTTCTGAGAGTTAAACAAACTGATGCACAGGAAATACTTACCACAGAACCTCATGTGGAAGTAGCCAATATTATATGATTATAACTATATGATTTCAACTAGTTATCTCTGGGCTGGGAGGCAGGGACGTCACTGTGCTCCTTTGCCGACCAGCTCCTGTAACTTTCTGGGGGGTCGGCACCCGGTACATGTTCTGGGCAAGTTGGTGTGGTCGTTTGAATAGAATTGGCCCCTACAAGCTCACAGGGAGTGGCACTATCAGGAGGTGTGGCTTTGTTGGAGTAGGTGTGGTCTTGTTGGAGGAAGTGTGTATTGTGGGGGAGGGCTTTGAGGTCTCATATATGCTCAAGATATCACCCAGTGTCTCAGACAACCACTTCCTGTTGCCTGCAAGATGTAGGACTCTCAGGCTGGAGAGATGGCTCAGAGGTTGAGAACACTGGCTGTTCTTCCAGAGGTCTTGAGTTCAATTCCCAGCCATCATATGGTGGCTCACCACCATCTATAATGAGACTTGGTGCTTTCTTCTGGCATGAAAGCATACATGCAGCCAGACCACTGTATACATAATATATATATTTTAAAGAGCTGCAGGACTCTCAGTTGCTTCTCCAGTAGCATGTCTGCCTGCACACTGCCATGCTCCCTGGCCGTGATGATAATGGACTGAACCCTGATGTGTAAGCCAGCTGCCCCAATTAAATGTTTTCATTTGTTTCATTTGTAAGAGTTGCCGTGCTCCTGGTGGCTCTTCATGGTAATAGGAACCCTAACTAAGTTGGTATCGATGGCCCCATGCTCATCCCTCAAAGGGAGTGGTCCCCATCCCCCCTACACCTTCTGCTCTTGGTTGTGGCTCCAGCAGTTAGGAGCATTCTCCGAAGCCATGTAGACCCGACTCAGATCTAACCTAAGCAAAACAGGACATCTGTCTTAAGGTAACTATTGCCGTGATGATACATAATGGCCAAAGTAACTTGGGAAGGAAAGGACTTGCTTTATACTTCTACATTGTAGTTCATCATTGAGGAAGTCAGGACAGAAACTCAAACAGAGAAGGATCCTGAAGGCAGGGGCTGATGCAGACGCCATGGAGGGGTGCTGCTTACTGACTTGCTCCCTATGGCTTGCTCAGCCTTTCTTATAGAAGCTAGGATCACTAAGCCAAGGGTAGAACCACCTACAATGGGCTAGGCCCTCCTCCATCAATAATTAATTAAGAAAAATACAGGCTTGTCTACAGCACATCTTATGAAGGTATTTTAATTGAGATTCCTTCCTCTCAGATGACTCTAGCTTGTGCCAAATTGATGTAAAACCAACCAGGACAGTATCTATGAGGGAATCAAGGTCTGGGCAGGACCCCACTTACCTGTGACAGGCACCGCAGGTATCGGGACACAGCCTTGCGTGCAGGGCTGTCTTTAACCATCTCATCCTCCTTACAGGGCACCTTGGCTAGGAAGAGCTGTACCTGGCTGGGGGTCATGTTGGCAAAATCCAGAAACTTCTCTGGGTCAACGGAGTTGCTGAAGGCACACACGAAACACTTCCCGTCGAGGAGGGCCAGCAGGATCCAGACCAGGGGTGCTGCTAGAGCTCGCTGCAGCACGGAGGAACACATGTACCTGAAAGCCAAGAAACACCACACAGCTAGAGCCAGGGAGAACTGGGCTCACAGCGTGGCCTCTTCCAAGCTGTGACAGTTTGGTTGGGGTCTCTCACTCATGTTCTGTCTCTCTCATATTCTCCCCCCACCCTACCTCTCTCAGCATGGCCTTATGGATCCTGATTTGGCCTTGAACTCTGTGTAGTAGATGAGGGTGACCTTTAGCTCCTGATCCTTCTGCCCCTCTTCCTGCATTCTGGGATTACAGGAGTTTGCCATCCCATCTGGTGGATGCAGCGCTGGGATTCAACCAAGGCCTTGGTGCATTCTAGGCAAGCCCTCCGTCAACTGATCTCCATGGTCAGCCCTTGGCCAAGGTTCTCAGCGTCTATGTGTCAAAGATTCAACGTCTGGGAAGCAGGGCTGCTGAAGGCACAGAGCCAGGGCTGAGGAAAGTGAACTTAGAGAAGCCTCCCCTGCAAGGCACTCAGCACAGTGGACCCTGACCCCAGCCGGGGGTTGAGGGGGGCATTAGGAACCGCTAAGCCTCACCAGCTGATCTGTATCCATGTGCCAGACCCTGAGGACATATGGCGACAACAGGTTAGGTTCTTGTCTCAAGAAGCTTCCCAGAAAGGAAATACGGCCTTTAAAGAAACAGTTGCCTCTTGCTGCGTGCACCAAACAAACAAAATTTTTTAATGCACGTGATGGGTTAGATGTGACCCAGGTAATTCTTGGAAACCCTGAATCATTCTTATGGTTACAGTAGTGGCCATGGAAAGGTGAAGAATGATAGGAACAAAAATACATATTTTCAGGATCTGCAAGACGGGTCAGCAGGTAGGGCCCCTTGCTAAGGTTGACTATCTGAGTTCAATCCCCAGAACCCATATGGTGGAAGGAAGACTCCCGAATACTGTCCTCTGACCTACACACACACACACACACACACACACACACACACACACACACACACA